AGAAGATAGAGTCCAAGTCTCTCACGTTCTGGATTCAGATTCGGACTGCACAGACATACCTGACTCAAAACGCCAACAACTTTTTTATACGGACTCCAAATTGGGTGATTCTTTTTTTGTTGGAATCTAGATTTTGTGCTCTTTCCAGCCCAACTGGGTTCACCTTCAAATTCGTCCGGAGCATTGAGATATCGACGAAACAATCAGACGCTGCAGCAGAATCCGAGTTAAACAACAAGTCCAAAGGTGTTGCATCACCTCCACTTGGGCCCATGAGCCTTGTACGACCTAGGGTTGGTTTTAGGATGCCTTGGGACGTTCTCCCACCTCCTTGGCTGCCACCCCTTCCTCCTATATAAGTAGATCCATCTAGTAGCTTTTTTCTTGGGATTTGTTTAGTTAAAAGTTAGCCATTGCAACTTCGTATACTTCGTTTGTGTCCAACGACCAGACCAAGACCGCTTACGGATCCCCACCTTTATTAGTACTTCATATATATTCGCAATATTCAGATTGCTTTATTATATTCTTGCTTGTTCTTCGATTGCTTGCAGGAATAGACCTTCGTGGTCAGGTTGATCGTGCTCCGGCGTGGTCAATAACCTCTCGGAGTTGGTTTAGCGATTGCTAAGGCGCAACGTCATGCATGTTTGTAGTCGGATCATCAAAGTCGTCTCTACCAAATCGATAGTTATCATCTCATCGAAAGATTGGGACACCCCGCCTCTATCAAGTGGTATCAGTTTTCAGGTTGCTCGGTGAGAATTTCCAATTATCCCTAGATTTGATTTTTTTCTTACCTATTGTCCAAGAAAAAGCCACAAAAAAAATTAGATCTATTTATCTTTTGTCCAAGCCAGTCCAAGCCTTTGCAATTTTCTTTTCATTGTTTGCATTATTGAATTGTGGTTGCATCGCCATGTCGAGTTGCTGGTCTTAGTGTCTGGTTCCTTTAGAGTTTTGAGTTCTGTTCACATTAGTCACGCCGCCGCTGCATCATTATCCCTTCCGTTGTCCATCATCCCATCCATCAATTTCCACCACGTGCTACCCATCGTTCATTATCATAATCATAGTTGAGATCGTTCACATCTTCACTTGATCCAATCTGCATCTTATCTAGTTTATTTTGGAAAGAGTGAGAAAAAAAAGACGGAGAAAAAAAGCGAGAAAAAAAGAGAAAAAAAGAAAGAAAAAAAAGAGAGAAAGAAAAAGAAAAAAAGGAGGAGAAAAGAGAGAAGAAAAAAAACAAATTCCGGATCTATCTAGACTCAATCTCGTAGTTGATTTCGGATTGGAATCTGTTTTGTGCACTGTTCAGTAAAACAGGTGTATCTCCCTCATACGACGTCCGTTTTGGCTCCGTGAGTACTCAAATTAAAGCTAGCGACGAGCCACATCTAAATAGTTGCAGAAGCTAGTTCATTATTTGGCACCTCAAAATCGGCTTCTAAATAGGTCTTTTTGCCCTCCAAAGTTCGTGAACATAGTTTGTTCTAGTTTTTCAGGCCAGATTTATAATACTTTGACTCTTCATATCAATTTGGAATTGAGTGATTCTTTTTGCATTAGAAAGCTTGAGTTAGTAGCAAACTTTTCAAGAGGAAAGTTGGAGAGAGAGTTGTTATATATCCTGCTTGGCAGTTGTTATTCATTATTATCTTTACTGCCGTTGTGCTCTTCACTTATATCTTGCTGTCCAGAGCTACGTATCCTTCATTGATGCTAGTTGTGCTATGCCGTGACCTCATTAGTGTTCTAGGCTCGCGTCTCTAGTCCGGTCTAGCCTAGGACCAGCACAGTACCGTCGTTGAGCGTTTATTCAACATTGCATCTTTGAATTGATTATTGCTAATCTTTTACTACCATATATAGCCAACCCAGCTCCACATATTTCTACACCGTGTATACATACGTTTCCCTGGCAATCGCTTTACTCAATCTTAGGAGTTAATTGACACCGCTGGTTGCCGATCACCGCCTGCTGCATGGTAAGAACTTGTAAGACATTGATATTTGCTTTACTGTGAGCGTTTTACCACCACATCCTAGTAGTTATAGGAACATTATTTTTGGATTTTGTTTCTTGTTTCTACTAATCATGACAGGATCCAGAGTCAATTCATGGGCTTTGTCGATCGCGGGAGACATGCCACCGCCTATGCAAATACCACAACCGTCACGAGAGGTGCACAAACATCCAAATGCACATGATGAGGTTCATGTTTCTATACCACCATTTAATGGCTGTTTTAGACCTGCTTTATATATTGAATGGGAGTTAGACATAAATAATATATTTGCTTCCCATAATTTTGATGAACATAAAAAAGTTACGGTTGCGGTTGGTTCTTTCACTGGTTATGCTCTAGTTTGGTGGAGTGAATATTGTCGGTTACACCCTGATTATGTACCTAATACTTGGGATGATTTAAAACATGTCATGAGAGATAGATTCATCGATGTTTATTATACTCGTGACATGATTAAAAAACTGGAACATTTAAAACAAGGTAGTGACACCGTAACAAAATATTATGATGATTTACAAACTACCTTGTTGCACACATTTTTAGAAGAAAGTGAAGAAGATTTTATGGATAGATTTTGGGGAGGATTAAACTATAATATTTAGGAGATACTAATTCATGAAGAGTGCTATCCTATGGATCATTTGTTTCGTCTTGCTTGCAAAGCTGAACAAAAAATAAAACGACGTGTTTCCCACAAGGAGAACAAGCGCACGGTGCACATTCTAACTGTTGATACAAATGTTTATTCAACTACTAGGAGTACTATGACAACTGCATCTGTTGTTGCGAGGACTACATCATCTCCACCATGTGAAACATCACCATCGAGAGTGCCTACATCATCTGAGTTGACTATAAGAGGTAATGACAAAGGTACAGATTTTCCACTTTCACATGAAAATGATGCATGCCTAGTTAACTTGAATACATCATGTGTTGAGCTACCCACTACTTTGATCACACCACCTATTTTAGAGGACTATGTTGATAATTTGACTTTGCCATGTGATCAAACAACTGAAATACCAACAATTTTGAGTGCACCCATTGAATTAACTATAGATGCAAAAGAATCAATGTTTAATCATTTTGATATGACCTCTAAATTTGGTGATGATTCTGTGTCCAATGACTTGTTGCATGTTTGCTTATTTAAGCATGTTGTAGCATGTAAATTTGATGCAAGTAAGGTTTATTCACCAATGTTGGGATGGTTTAATGATGAATACTGTCAATCTTTTGATAGGAATAAGAGCTTCACTTATATGTGCAAACTGAGTTGCAATATTTTCATGCCTTCTACTTATGATAATATTTTGGCTTTATATTTTATGATCTATGAAAGTTACTCATGTATACATGTGTCATATGTGCCAAAATCAAGGGAAGTAAAAATGGATGACATATACATATATAACATGTATACCTTGTCTCTTTTGTTAACCACATTTCAGATTAAGCAACGTCGAGGACGGCTTTATTCTCAAAAAGGGGAGGATGATGAGGACATGACTACCTTGGATATGACCAAAAATATTGCATACATGCATATTTGTCAGGTGATTTCTAGTGTAAACTATTCAATAATCTATTTATATTATCCAGAACAAAAATACTTCACACACTTTTGTGTTTTGTCTAATTGCAGGTGTATGGGACATTTGTACAATTCACATATGAAGATAAGGGAGAAAGAGATGTTTAAGTGTTGTTCAAAAAGTTCTCTCACGTCACTTTTGAGCCAAGAGAAGATAGAGTCCAAGTCTCTCACGTTCTGGATTCAGATTCGGACTGCACAGACATACCTGACTCAAAACGCCAACAACTTTTTCATACGGACTCCAAATTGGGTGATTCTTTTTTTGTTGGAATCTAGATTTTGTGCTCTTTCCAGCCCAACTGGGTTCACCTTCAAATTCGTCCGAAGCATTGAGATATCGACGAAACAATCAGACACTGCAGCAGAATCCGAGTTAAACAACAAGTCCAAAGGTGTTGCATCACCTCCACTTGGGCCCATGAGCCTTGTACGACCTAGGGTTGGTTTTAGGATGCCTTGGGACGTTCTCCCACCTTTTTGGCCGCCACCCCTTCCTCCTATATAAGTAGATCCATCTAGTAGCTTTTTCCTTGGGATTTGTTTAGTTAAAAGTTAGCCATTGCAACTTCGTGTACTTCGTTTGTGTCCAACGACCAGACCAAGACCGCTTACGGATCCCCACCTTTATTAATACTTCATATATATTCGCAATATTCAGATTGCTTTATTATATTCTTGCTTGTTCTTCGATTGCTTGCAGGAATAGACCTTCGTGGTCAGGTTGATCGTGCTCCGGCGTGGTCAATAACCTCTCGAAGTTGGTTTAGCGATTGGTAAGGCGCAACGTCGTGCACGTTTGTAGTCAGATCGTCAAAGTCATCTCTACCAAATCGATAGTTATCATCTCATCGAAAGATTGGGACACCCCGCCTCTATCAGGAAGGGTGAAGGGCGGTTGGATCTGGGTTCCCCCGTCGCCGCCAGGGAGGGCGACGCGGGGGACGGGTCTCTACGTAAGATCTCACGGACTGAGGTTTCGTTAAAGTCTCAGTTAACTTAGATTTAGCAATCCCGTTTGTGTATTTTACTTCAAAATTTGCCGACAGCGCCATGTTCATAAGTACTCCCTCCGGTCCTTTTTAGTCTGCATATAAGTTTTATTTGAAGTCAAAGTATCTCTACTTTGACCACACTTATAAAAAAAATTATCAACATTTACAATACCAAATCAATATTTATAAATTCAGTATGAAATGTAGTTTCATAGTATATATATTTGGTATTGTAGATATTGGTATTTTTTAATATAAATTTGGTCAAAGTTTGTTGAGTTTGAGTTGACACAAATCTTACGCGGAGTAAAAAGGACCTGAGAAAGTACATAGCGTATTGTATCCAACAATAATACTGTATTTTAATTCGTCATCTCACTTGTACAAAAACATTTCCCAGTCGGCCAGGCAACTCGGCGGAACAACCTGCCCATGCGCGACCCCATGCGCGTTCCTGCAGAGGGACTCGGCCGCTCGCCGCCTTTCCCCGTACCCCAGCCAAACGTTACGCGTGGTGATTCCGGTGCACGGCCGGCTCGGGCTGCAGTCGAACCGCACCGCCACCGGCGTGGCCGACGTCCCCTCGACGTTCGTGTATGACACGTTGGTGATCTTGATTCCCGAACCCTGAAAGTAATATAGCACACCGTGTCGGCACTCAGCAGAGCTCCCTGAAAATACAGTGTTGACAAGAGTGTGATGATGGACGGGTACGACACCTCGGTGGGGCAGCTGATGTTGCCGGGGCAGTAGTTCTGGTCGACGATGATCGGGTTCCGGACGTCCCTCATGACCACGTCCGAGAAAGCGACGCCGTCGACGAGCCCGCTGTTGGCCTTCGCCCACGACTTGATCCGCAGCCCGTTGGTCGTCCCGGCGAGCGTCACGGCCTTCACGGTGATGTTCCGCACGGCCACCTGCTCCGGCGTGTCTCCCAGGCTCCCAATACTGGCAATGGCACAGCACACGGAAGAGATTATTAGACACTTATCAGCAGTGGATGGACAGGGTTGGGCCTCGTCACTCGCCTGATGCCGTGCCCCGGGCCGCAAGTGACGCCCTGAATCCACACGTCCGACGAGCCCTCGACCATGGAGATGCAGTCGTCGCCGGTGCCGATGACAGCGTTCCGGATGGTGACGCCGCTTGACTGCTTGACGTGGATGCCGTCCGTGTTGGGGCTGTTCCCCGGCGCCGACACCACCGTGTCCACTATCGCCACGCCGGTGCTCGCCTGGACGGTGACGTGGATGCCCGCGCTGTTCAGGGACGTCAGGCCTTGGATCACCACGTTCCTCGACCGGTAGATCGTGAACGACTGCGACGGAGCATCCCCAAATCATTTGGGTTTATGGATTATCTCCCGGCTCATTCTTTTTCTGAAAGAAAAGCACGTACTGACCCTGGTGGCGGCGGGGCAAGAGGAGTCGCCGCCGGCTCTCCGGCACGCCCAGTAGGCCTGGCCCCTGCCGTCGAGCGTGCCGCCGACGACGGACACCCCGTCCACGTTCTGGAACACGATCCAGAGCTGCACGCCGGCGTACGGCACGGGCGCGAGCACCGTGCCCATGATGTTCACGGCCACCGCGCCTCTCCGGCACGGCCCGCTGAACCTCGCCCTGGAAACCAAGAACTCGCCTGCCGGCACGACCACCGCGGACGGGCCCTCGCCTTCCGCACCGCACGCCGCGGCCCACGCGCGGAGGAACGCCCCCGCGCAGTCCGTCCGGCCGTCGGCCACGGCGCCGTAGTCGACGACGCTGTAGGACGCCGCGGAAGCGAGCGACACGCACAGGTGGGCGAGGAGAGCAAGGCCGGCGCGCCGTCGTGGCGGCATCGGGCGGTAGCGTCTCGTGGGTCTGCGCGTGGCCGGAGATGCGTGTGTCCACAGTGCATCGGGCTCGTGACTTGCAACTTTGCAGGTTGTTGGTGGATTGGATGGATTGCTGGCAGCTTGGGAGTTGGGAGTTGTGTTAAGCAACATGGTTGATAGGTACGTGGCGTTTAGCTTCGAGCGTGCAGGACGAGTGTTTCGTGCCTTTGCAGTGTTTATGGAGTGATCACTTGTAAGATTGGGTCATGTGCACATGTTGCTACATTTGGCCATCTGTTCTTGTGCATCCAGAGCCTGGTATTCGGCGGTCCTTCTCCGCGCCATTGTCAACCATTGACGTGGAGAGCGCGGCTCATTGACGTGAAGCCTTGCCATCAAACCCTTTAACAGTCGCGCAAGGGGCGATCGCTGAGCCGTGCCACGTCGATGTATATACTGTCCCTGTGATTGGTTGGTGCGTAGTTACCATCCACCCCAGATAACACCTCCCCGCTAACCTCCATCTATTATCCTCACCACGAAGGCAGCCCACTCACGCGACCTCCCTCTCCCTCGTTTCCTCTCCCATCTAATCCGCCGCCATTAGCAGCGCCAGCCAGCGGGAGAGGAACTGGCTCTGCTCTCCCATGCAGCCACACCAGCTTCGTCGCCTGGAGGGAGGAGAAGATGGCGGTGGCGGCTTCGATCTATGATCTGCCTCGATGCGGGTCTCCTCCAGTGAGTGCCTATGCGGCGACGGCTACGGCGACAACGAGTGAAGGAGATGAAGTGGAGGCAACTCGAGGGCCTCCTAGGGGGCCTGGTCCAGTTCTCCCCCGCCGCCTCCTCTGCTCGATTTGGCCTCCAAAAAAAGGTGGGTAAGGCGACTCCCTTTGGCTGAAGCTAGCTGATAAACTCGCTGCTGCCAAGTCCCTTTTGGGTGTCTTGCACAAAACGGTCTGTCTTGCTTCAGTTCAGAGCAACGTCTTAATTCACTCTTTTGATTTGTTAATTATATATGTTACGACCTGCACTTTGTTATGTTATGCGACCTGTGATTCACGGGCCGTCTGATGATGATATTGAGCATTTTTCTCATGTATTACAAATATCATGAGTCTTATGATGAAGAGATGTCCAAGTAGCTGCATGTTTTTGGTTCAGTTCAGTAGCGCAAAAATCTGAAGAAGTATAATCATAATATTTTTGTTGTCTAATATAGTAATATGTCACAGATGTACATGTACCACATTTTCTGTTCTGAAAGTTTCATCATGATTTCTGAAATACTTGCATTACATTTGGTTGCTTTCTCGAGATATTGCTTTCCATGTCACGGGGCTTATCACCACTGTGTGGTCTTTTCCTTTTGTATAGGCAGGCGATGCTCTGATTCAGCCGTATACTCATTTCATCTCTGATTTTGAGAGCAAGATCAATCTTCTTAAATTTTCTCACTTCGCAGTAGTAGTTTCACTCCAGTATTCAGATAAAGATGCTGGTATAAGCTATCTCGAAGGCGTAATTTCAAAACTGCGTGATACCAAGGAATCACGGGTTGAAGAGCCCATTCTGTATTTGAAGATGCAGATTGCAAGTTTTCTTCTTGAGAAAGGGAATCAAAAGGAGTGTAAGAAACTGGTAGACGAGGGTAAAACCACTTTGGATAGCATGGGCGATGTTGATCCTTCAGTACTTTCGACCTATTATTAGTTATGTTCTCAGTACCATAAAGTGTGTCAAGACTATTCTGAATTTTATAAAAATGCTCTTCTATATCTTGCATACACAACAGTGGAGTCACTTTCAGAACCACTCAAACAGGTATTGTTGCTTGCCTGCTCTTTCGGCATGAAAAATTGGATTTGATGGTTGTTGTTTCCGATTTCCAATAATTACCTGCAGAACCTGGCATTTGACCTCTCACTTGCTGCTTTACTGTGTGACAACATATACAACTTCGGGGAGTTGCTTTCCCATCCAATTGTATGTCCTTATATACTTATAATTTGTATGTACCTTTATCTTGTCTGGTTACACTTTACTACTTACTCCTTCCTTGCCATAATTCTTGTCATGGTTTGTTGTGGCGTGAGTGGGATTCGGTTCCACGCCAAATCAAGAAGTCTACTCCGGCTGATTAGACTAGCAGGTCCATCCATCCATGTACGCTTTTCCTTGTATGCCTGAATTTTTTCAAGGGATCGGTGGCAGCAAGATCCACGAGGAGCACGAGGCGGTGCATCAAGATGGGCAAATACGGTGTGGCAACGGGGTGGGCAAGAAGATGAGGGGATTGAGGCGAGGTGTCAGGACCCCGACTCAATGCCACATCGATATAGCGTGTAACACCTCATATCACTTTGCGGCCTCACGCACGGTATTCCCACGGGTGTCGCCTTACCTTTGCCCGGGACCGTTTGCGCCTTTTGGCACACGTATATGATAGTGTCGCTAGCATCCATATGATAAGGAGCCTGGGCTGACATGGCTAGTCGTGAACCCAAAGTGGCACAAACTTACAGGGACAGGCATCCATGACCCAGCATCGAACGTGTCGGTCATCAGCGAGTGAATCCAGGCTGTAGCACTGGGCTAGCAGGACTTCGGTGAACCGGGCTGTAGCTGGCTAACAGGACTCCGGAATTCACCGCGTGACATTTCCCCGAAGGGACAGACATAGGATAGAAGAAGGACACATGCCGGCCAGCCTAAGTGTTCCGGAGCAGTAGCAAGCTACTATGGAAACACTAGGAGACATTTCCCGGTATGAGAGGCTACTAAGGATAAACAACTAGATAGTCAGATCCCACACATACCAAGCATTTCAGTAACATACACACAATATGCTCGATATGTGCAAATACAACATGGCATCACAACATGACTCTACAACTCAAGTATTTTATTCAATAGGCTCCGAGGAGCGAGATATTACAATCATGGGTCTCATGACCCAACATTCAGAGCAAACAAGTCAAGCACAAGCGGAAACTTAACATGTCTGAGTACAGACATCTACAAATGAGAAATGCTGAGCAGCCTGACTATCTACCAGATCCTGCCGAGGGCACAAGATCATAGCTGAGGTAACAAGCTAAACGTCGAAGTCCACGCGGTACTACTAGCGAGACTGAAGTCTCTCTGCAAAAACATAAATTAAGCAACGTGAGTACAAATGTACCCAGCAAGACTTACATCAGATCTAACTACATATGCATCATTATCAACAAAGGGGATGGTGGGGTTTAACTGCAGCAAGCCAGCTTTGACTCGGTGGCTAACCTGAACTACGACTGAAAGTAACTCTTTTGAGGTGGCGCACACGAGTCCACATATTCACCATATCAATACACCACTATGGATCCGCTCCCGTCTCCCTACGAGAACGCCATCCATAGCACTCACGCTTATCTTGCGTATTTTAGAGTATCCACTTTCACTTGTCTATGAACTGTACAGGCAACCCAGAAGTCCTTTTCCGCGGACACGGCTATTCGAATAGATCATATTAACCCTGCAAGGGTGTACTTCTTCACACACGCTCTCACCACTTACCGCCGTTTACACGACATGTACTCGGCAACCTTCAAGCGGAAGCCCAGCGAGGGTGTCGGCCACGACCTGACTAACCACACAAGTCTCTCGTCCAGGTTTATCGCCTATTCGGGTTCCATCCGCAAGGAGATCCGGCCGGGGTGTCGCTCACGGCCCCAAACGATGTGTGCAGGGTTCCCAAGTCCACCATCCGGGTGCCACTTGGTACACCGGGCCACTGTGCCTAGTCTGTCCCAAGCCCACCTGTACCGGGTGCCACTTGGTAGACTACTAACACTACCTACAAACACCAAAAACTAGTTGCAACTCCTGGACAGAGATCATGCTAATTAATAAGTCGAGAGGGGTCGAGTTACCGGAACCCAATGTGTGGTAGTAACTGTTCATGGATCACAAACACAGAACTCAGTTCCTGAGGACGGCTGCAATGAGACAACCCACCATGTACTCCTACATGGCCTCTCACCGCTACCTTTACCAAATCGTGTTCACACACTTAGCTCTCAACAGTAGGACATGTTCACACACCTCCGGTTCATCCCCGATGAATCAGACCTGACTCAACTCTAAGCAGTAGCAGGCATGACAAACAAACATGGATGAGTAGGCACATCAGGGCTCAAACAACTCCTACTCATGCTAGTGGGTTTCATCTATTTACTGTGGCAATGACAGGTCATGCAAAGGATAAAGGGGTTCAGCTACCGCAGCAAATAACAGATGAATCAGTGTTGTCCTAATGCAGTAAAAGAGAGCAGGAGCGAGAGAGTGGGATTGTATCGGAATGAACAAGGGGGTTTTGCTTGCCTGGCACTTCTGAAGATAGCATTGAGTCTTCATCAGTGTCAACGATCACAACGTCGGAACATCGTCTACCGAGAGGGGACAGATACCGGCAACAGAGAAGAAATACAATCAATGCAATGCACAATATGATGCATGCTCATGACATGACAATATGAGTGTGTTGGCCTAATGCAACTACAACCAGATGGATTTGGGTCATATTGAGCCAAAGGTTCAACCCCAAATTCAAATTATGAATCCAAATAGTGCCTTATCATGTTTTGCACTAAATAGCAAGGTTAAGTTGTTTAAACATGCATGAAACCAGTGCAGATGGATAGATTGGATTTTTCTGATCATTTTTCATATATAATTTATTTCATTTGGGGTTACGGTTGAAATTATATGATTTTTAGAAGTTTTGTATATTTTCTGAAATAAATAAATCATTTTAGATTTATTTAAAATCCAGAAAACAGATTACTGCATCAGCATGACGTCGGTGTGACGTCAGCAGGTCAACTGGGTCGGCCAGGTCAACCTTACCTGTGGGACCCACTGGTCAGTGACTCAGTTAACTAACTGAGATAATTAGTGCTAAACTAGCCCTAACTAAGCTGTCAGCAGTGCGGGGCCCACGTGTTAGTGGATCATCTAGTTAACTACTTAACTAACACTAATTAAAATAACACTAATTAAACAAGGCATGGGCCCACTCGTCAGCGAGAGAGAGGGGTCAAACCCCTGGGCAGACGGGGTCAAACCCCGCCGGTCAAAGCGGTCAACCCGCCGGCGTTTAACCGCCGGCGAGACCAGATGCGGCGGCGGGCTTCGGGTTTGGTCCTCCGTTGACCAAATCGACGGCGGAGATGCGCTACATGCTGCTGGTGGACTCGCGCGTCGAGTGGTGCAGGCGGTGTGTGCGGGGGTGGCCGGAGATGACGCCGGCGTCGAGCCAGGCGGCGGCCGGAGCTCGGAGGGAGGGGAGAAGGACCTACGGTGCACGGCAGGGGCCGGTGTTGGTCGTGTTCGGCTCCTGGGAGCTCGGTGAGCACGGAGGCATGCTCAAAAACGGACGGGGGCGGCTATGGCCACGACAACGACATGGCACGGCGGCGGCAGGTGCGGTGAGCTCGGTGTGGTGCATACTGTGCACGAGAGAGGGAACAGAGAGGGGGAGGACGGGCAGCAGCTCACAGTGGTCTCGACGGGCGGGTCAGAGAGGTCGGGGAGGAGCTGGAGTGGTCACGGCGACGAGGGGGATCTCCGATGATGGCGGATCGGGACGGCTCGGTGCAGCGTCTCCGGGGTGAGCGAGCGCTCGGGGCTCGGTCGAGGCAAAGCAGCGGACGACGGTGAAGCTTCTGGGCACGGAGAGGCGACGAGTGGACGGCCGTGGCTGCGGGCTTTACGACGGCGTGGACGCAGCTGCGTCGGCCATGGCGTCCAGGGAGCGAGGGAGAGAACAAGGGGGAAGAATGGGGTGTCCACGGGGTCGGGGCGGCGCCGAGGAGTGGCTTCGAGGCGTCGCCGCGCTGTCCAAGCGAGGCAGGCGGCCAGGGAGCTGCGTGGCGAGCTCAGGCGCGTCGCGGTGTCCCTCCTCTCTGCCTGCCTGGCGAGAGGAAGCAGGTGGCTGGCACGGGCCAGCACAGTGCTGGGCCAGCCAGTGGGCTGCCAGGTGGGCTGCGCCAGGTAAGTGGCCAGGTAGTTTCCTCTCTCTTTGTTTTCTATTTTATTTTCTGTTTTCTATTTTTCTGTAACTGTGTGGCTTTATTAAAAATACTTAAACAGATCCAAAAATCATGAAGCTAATCATGGCTACTGTTTAGAATATATCCAATAGTAAACATTTTTGTTTATGATTATTTGAGCATTTAAAATATTTTATAGCATTTAAATGCCCAAATGCAAATAGGGTATGACTTAATTCAAGGCCCAATATGTTCTGCAAAAATATAAACCATTTTTGGTAGATGCTTTCACCTCAAACCAGAAATGTTGAACATTTTTAGAGGGCATTTTGAGTTCAATGAAAAAGATTTTATTTTGACCCTAGTTGAAATCATTTGGTGCTAGGGTTTAAGCATCCCCATTTCAAGTTTCCAATAAATTTAGACATGATGCATGGATGATTATGCAACTACTTGCAAACAAACTCTAGGGCTGTGACAACTCACCCCCACTAAACAAGAATCTCGCCCCGAGATTCAAGGCGTGAGGTAAGAAGACAAAGGGGACATAAACTAATAACATGAGCTCCAAGATCCAACTGTCTTCTCGAGGTGTTGATCTGTTGACTCAAAACAATCTTGACGTCTTTGCTTGCAAGGTCTTCATCCAACACGATGATGACAGAAGGAGACTCTACA